AGATAGACTACACATCAGAGTGCTAACAAACTGTAATTCATTTGCAATTCCATACAGGTGCATTACATTTCACCAACAGTCCAGGGATATGTAGTTTTAAGTACCAACTGTAGTAACAGTATTGGTAAGTTTTCAGAATAGATAAAATTTGGGGTGATATTTTAATTTCCCACAGTCATCGAACCTTGCAATTATTATTCGTTCCTTCAGTTATCCACACTGTGAATATACATGAATCTCTTGTTATTTTAATTTGCAAATGATGTAAATGAAAGTATTGGTATTGTTTACGAAGTGACTGCACCCCTCTAAATCTATTATTCCTGCCATTCTTGGAAAATCCACAAATATCATTGTATGAACTACATACATTACTAACCTGGAGCTTCACCCCCAGACTCCATCTGATCGCTGTATTTCCCTAACAGGTGCTCGGCCCTGAAACCCTACCTGATTGCTGTGGACTCATTTTCTGTGTAGCATTTGTTGAGAGCTATTTTTGTTCATTTCTGATTTATTTTGGTCAGTATGTAGAAGAGGGTAGTGAGTTTCGAAACAATTTTGATATTTTTCTGCATGAAACCCACTGCTTTCAGTGATTCTAGGTATCGTTCCTTGTGCAAATGAATTGTTGAGGAGATAATGGATAGAGATGATCACCATTTCCATCGACAATCTTGCTTTAATAGTCCTGATAGCAGGGGAGGCCATGAAGTATGTCAGGGAAATTATGGAGTAAAACAGGACCCCTGTGGCTGTTAACCCCTTCCCGACGGGTGACGCCACTAGGTGTGAAAACAAACCGCTCGAAAAGTGGCGTGCGGCTGTATGCCGCGAGCCAGTGATTCGGGCTGATGTACTGACTGACGCGCTATTTTATTTTATTTTATTTTTCTTTTCTTTTCTTTTCTTTTCTTTTCTTTTCTTTTCTTTTCTTTTCTTTTCTTTTCTTTTCTTTTCTTTTCTTTTCTTTTCTTTTCTTTTCTTTTCTTTTCTTTTCTTTTCTTTTCTTTTCTTTTCTTTTCTTTTCTTTTCTTTTCTTTTCTTTTCTTTTCTTTTCTTTTCTTTTCTTTTCTTTTCTTTTCCCGTCACCATTGGGGGGTTAAACAAAACATCCTAACCCAACATCTAACCTAACCTAACATGTGGTATATATTCCCTACCCTGTGGTAGTAAATGCTTCTAGCCAGTGGGCTATGTCCCCTGGACCCCCATGGTAGTATATGTGTCTAGAATTCACCCTCGCAATGTAATCAAGATGAGCGACTTAGCCAAAATTGGGGGATCTTCTCTTTTCTTTAATGTATAGCAGCCTCAGGAAGCATTTGCACACATATTGCCATTGAAGAACTTTGTCTTGGTTTGTATTGTTCTATCATTTCATGTAGGTTTTATTACCCAACTCTGCCACTACCTTATAATACATATTGTCCGTCTTTCCCTTTTATTATGGTAGTGTCATAATTTACTGTAAATATATATCAAAGTAGCACATGTTGCATAACTTTCATATGATCAACATGCAGAAGAAATATCATGGATGAAAAGTGTCATATTTTCTGTCATTCTGTCTATTATAGGCAAAAGTTACCTTGTAACTATATGGCTGTTAAAACAAACTATACCAAATTTGGTATCAGGGAACTCTTATTTAAACCTACTAACTAAACATAGCAGTTGTTTTCAGCAGCATTTAGAAAAAGAAACATGATGTGAACATCGACAAACTTCCATAGACTGCACAACTCTGGACTAACAAGTGTGTGTGAGAGATGTTTACCTGGTGGAGCTTCAGCCTCAAGTGTCATGACATCATTCATGAGGCATGTCACTTAGTCTTGTTCATGCTCTCTCATGCCATTAGAAGTAGTAGAGATTTTGCATTTCAAAAGAGGGGTTTAGAGGACAAGAATGCAAAATATTGCTAAGCCAAAATCTCTCATTTCCCAAAGATGTATTATGGAAAATTTTCACAATATTGCAACTAATTGCAAGTGGTATTATGTCAAGCCATTACTGTAGCCTTTGTACCTCCATTGCCCCAGGAAAATAAAATGAGATTCTACTGTATATTTTCTTGAGCTTCTAGATCACCCTTGCAATACATCTTGGGTTAATCTTTACTGTATGGAAACACTAAGTTAGGGCAAAGTGAAGATGATATTCTTGTTGATGACAAAAAGTTGCAGTTGTTGGTACAAAAAATAATGTGCAGACAGCAGTGGTAATGCCATAAATAAAGGAAAAAGAGGACCACTTATACATTTAGATTGTTGAACCAAAATAATAAACTAACTTTTACCTCAGAGTTCTAACAGCTGCTTATGGTATGGAATTATTGCTTTACCTCTGGCAATTAGGACAGCGTTGAGTAAGTTATACAAATAACTATGTATCTAGATTTACTTGATATCTCGAGGCACACCCTCATGGGCTTAACCCAATGGCGCCGGGTGTACAAAACAAAAAAAAAAACTCTACGCTTAAGCAAACAAAGGTGGCGTGCCGACTTTGAGCGCGTGAGTAGGGGACATCAGCCCGAATCACTGGCTCGCCGAGCTTTGGCGCGCCACCGGCTTGTTTGGCTGCACGCCAGCTTTCGAGCGTTTTGTTTGCATGCTGATCGGTGTCACCCCGCACCAAGGGGTTAACAGGATGGTGTGATTTACGCTCCAGCCCATTTCCACCCCATTTCTGTGCAATATTTTATGGTAAACGATTTTTCAGTATATTATAATTGAAAATGGCTCAGTAGTAATATTGGTAAAAGGGGAAAAAAAAAAAGTATATATACTTCTGTACATATATATATACATGTATACATATGTATGCATGTACCTATATACACGTGTCTGTGTCTGTGTCTGTGTCTGTGTCTGTGTCTGTGTCTGTGTCTGTGTCTGTGTCTGTGTCTGTGTCTGTGTCTGTGTCTGTGTCTGTGTCTGTGTCTGTGTCTGTATATATATATATATATATATATATATATATATATATATATATATATATATATATATATATATATATATATATATATATATATATATATATATATATGTATATGGATATATATACATATAAATACATACATATATACACATGTATATACATATTTATAAATATATATACATATGTACATATGCTATTAGGGGCCCCTTTAACCCATTGCTGCCGGGGAAAATGAGTAAAAAATGGGGAAAATGCTGACCTCATTTTTTTTTATTATTGTGAAATATCTCTGTACATAGATGGCTCTGCTAGTCCTGATTTCACCTTTCCTTGAATTGGCGGGAAAAAAAGTTTTCTTACTATTGCTATTAATATAGATGGTGTTACTTTTAACATAAAAATAGGATAACGTTAAATATTTTCGTAAATCAATGAAAAGGGTGAAGGGGCGAGACAGGCAGTACTTGTAATTGGCTCATTGGTGACTTAGTACAAGTGTAGCCATCTATGTGTAAAAACAATCAAACAAATCAACACACAGTGGTCATGGCATGTACGTACATGCCATCCCCGGTGGCAGTGGGTTAACTTTAATCCAATTGGTACGGATAACAAGAATACTTGCTATGCCCACTGTAATTTAAGTTTACTTATTGTATTTACACATGTATGGCTCTACAAGTGCTTAATAACCAAGGAATCAGTTATTAGTCCTACCTATCTCACCTGTTTACCCTTTTCATGGACTTTTGGAAAGAGTCTTTCATATTATTTCATTGTCTTAAATGTTACCAAGATTTAAATAACAATTTGAAAATCACAACATCAGTAACAATAACAACAGTAATAATATTAATTTTATATAAAAGAAATACACATATTCCCACCAATTCAAGGAATGGGAAATCAAGATCAGTCAGTAGGGCCTACTGATAGACTCCTTGCTGACTGAGCACATGTGGAGCCATCTGTTTGTAACAAAATTCACATAAAACTACAGGGGACAGAACACAAATCCATGGTGGTTGGGTTAAATACTTGCACTCATACAGACAGATAAATTTTCACTATATATCTAGCTGTTAATTCTTTAATCTTTATTTGTTTCCACAGATATCAATGAGCTGACTTTGCCTAAGACCTGTGACACAGAATTTCCAGACCCTGATGATCTTCTCACCTTTAAGTTGATTATTTGTCCAGATGAGGTAAGACAAAATGTAGAAAGTCTACAACATTTATGTGATGAGGGAACAGTGTAATCTAAATTTATTTCTGTAGTCATTATAGAGCATCAGATCTTGTCAAGAGCACCTTAAAGATAATAGTTCTATTGCTCAACCTGTAGAAAGATTTTATTTAAAAGTCTTTTGGTTTCTGTAAGATCTAGTAGGTGCTGTAAATGGATTTAGAAGGTTACAAACTTAAAAGGAAGAAAATTGCAACTTTAGAAAAAAACATGTTTATTTCTAGACCAACTCTTTCCCATAATCATGAGGATTTGCTCTACCTAAAATCCCTAATAGCAGGATCTAAAAAACAAGAAAATTATTGATGTAAATACTTTATATTTTGTTCTTTTCTCTCTCTCTTTCTCTCTCTGAAATCTGTAGAAATCATGTCACATTTTAGAACATTTCCCTTCCTCAGGCTTTTTCAATTCATACTGCTGGAGGATAAAATGCATTAGTTGCCCCCCCCCTATTTTACAGCTAATGTAGCTTCTGCCTTAAGAAATTTGGCATGGTAATAGGGTTTCAAATGCCTGGCACCAGGGTTAGAAAATGGATAAGTAACTTAAAATAGAAATAGGAAAATGAATGATTAAACAGATAAATAAGAAATATCAGTACAGGACTGTAGGCCTTCAGTTAAGGAGGAATGCAAACGTGATATAATGATGAGATTGTATATTGGAGAAAGATCATCATGACTTGAGCCTTGATACTTTATGCCTGTAGTACAGTCACCAACAAAAGTAATAGATCATTGCTGGATGCATGAGAAAGAATTGCCTTATGTGGTAGTAATGTAAGTTTTGTAGATTCTCAGAATTATCAAGTGACAGCATATCCTTGATATATCAAGTATGAAAGTATAATAATTTTACATTCTAAGTATTTCATATATAATATATTCAAGAGAGTAAAAATATGTAATCAATGTTGTTAAGAGACCAGGCCTCTATAGATTGTCCCCACTGTATCTTGTGCATTAATGATGGACTGTACAGGGGTGTATAAGACATATATGTATTTAACGATAGGTAGATAAATGGGTTATATAAATGATTTTTTATGAATATGCCTTTAGATCTACACATTTATATTCAGACAAAAAAAAAAACTCTTTTATAGGTAAATGTATGAATTATATAGATAAATATGTTTTTAGATATATGAATTTAATACTACACATTTATATTTACACACAATATTACTCCTTTATAGATAGATATACAGTTTATATAAATAAATGTATTTTGAGATATATGAATTTAAGTCTACACATCTAAATTCAGTCAAAAAATACTCCTTTCCAGGGTTTCTATAGGGGAGGTCGATTCATCTTCAGCTTTAAAGTTGGCCCAAATTATCCTCATGAGCCACCCAAAGTCAAGTGTGAGACTATGGTAAGTATTCAGAATGTTTGATTTTCCTTTATGACTTCAAAGGTGTTATTAATAACCCTTTCCTTAAGGGGGAAATTAATAAAAAATGGGGGGAAATTCTGTGCTCATTTTTTATGTTTTTGTGAAATGTCCCTGTTACTAGATGGCTCTGCTAGTGTTTAGCCATAAAGGATTTCACCTTTCCTTGAATTGGCGCGAAAAACATATTTTTACTTGTGCAATAAATATAGATGGTGTCATTTTTATTATAAACATTATAATTACTAAAAAGTCATAAATATTTGTAACAGCAAAATAAGATATGTTAAATATTTTCATAAATTGATGAAAAGGGTGAACGGGCGAGACAGGCGGTACTCGTAACTGGCTCATTGGTGATTTAGTACAAGTGTAGCCATCTATGTGTAAAAACAATTCAACAAGTAAATTTACAATGGGCATGGCATGTACGTACATGTCATGCCCATCGGCAGGGGGTTAAAATCCGAAATTAGTAATCAGATAATGGAATTTGATTAAACTTATGCTTGGTGTTCTAAATGAGCTAGATGAACATTGAACAAATGCAGTGTTACAGCTGTGGGGGAGACAAGTGGGAGTGAGACTTACTCAACTTGACTGATCTGGAAACTGTGATCTTATTCAGTTAAAAGTATAATTGATGCTGGCAAATTGGGGTGGGATACTAATACACCAGAATAAATGTCTGTGGATAATTGTTATATATAAGAGTATTGAGTTCAATAGATTAGCAGTGGGTTCAAAGATTAAAGTGGGTGAGAGACAGTAGTTCACCTGGAGTAGCAATGCTTTTAGTTAAGACATCCCTGAGGAATTTGCAGTCCCAGATTTCTATGTAGGATGGTCAAGGATGAATTAGAGCTTAACCCATAGATGCCAGGAAAATGTAGTGTTCACTGCAGTATTGTTTTGTGAAATGTCTCTACACATATATGGCTCCACAAGTGCTAAGCCACCAAGGAGTCATTTAGTAGACCTCATGACCTGACCTGATTTTGTTCTTTCCTTGAGTTTTTGAAAAAAAAAAAAATATTGTTACTAAAGCTATCAATATTGATGCTGTTATTATCATTATAGGGATTATTACTGTTATAATGTTTTTAACCTTACCAATAACAATAATAATAGAATAAAATATTTCCAAAATTCAAGGAAAAGGGTAAACAAATGAGATAGGTAATAGCTACTACTAATTGACCTCTTGGTGACTAAGTACTTGTGGAACCATCTGTGTGTGAAGACAATTAATAAATTAAACTCACCTGGGGGGAAATATATTTGTATGCTATAAAATGACTATTAATCCCTTGGAGCTGGGTGCCATAATAAGACTTTCTTCAAAATGATGGTGTATACAGTTTATAGTAGAAGATAGAGAACAAACATTTGGCAAACTATGAGCAGAAATACACTAACAGCCAGATGGTAACCAAAGATATTTTGCTCTTGTGTGTACCTTCCTCTATTTTAAAAATTATGCATGCCAAGAAAGAAATGACAGGAAACCACTAGCCCCCACTTGTTCCATCCAGGTGGGGGCTTTAAACTTCCACTCTCTGCGGAAGGATGATAGGTTGCCACTACTGTTGAGGGAACTGAAGTGGCTCAGAGTTAAGTGGCTGCTCACTTGGAGGTCAGAAGATCTTGCTGGGTTGGGTTGGGTTACGGGGTTGGCCACAGTGATAGTCACCATTCTTGGGGGTAGCCCTTGATAGAAGCTACTCTGGTCAATGAAATTTTAATGGCACTGAAACTAAAGCTTGTGTTTGATGTGAAAAAGGTGCTTTACGCCAGACTCAAATCTGTGACAGACAGCTGTCCTCAGTAAGATATTCACATTATTCTATATGACTTTAATGTAGTATCTGGAAGTGATTGAGCTGGGTATGAGATGTCTAATGGTTCTCACGGCTCAGGGGCTGATGCCTTCAACTAGAATATCCTCCTTTTCTGGGACATTGCAAGGTCCAAGGATTTCTAGCTCCTACCAGCGCTCTGACCCACATTGTTGAATATAGTTTAGTGATTCAGGTAATGTGGCCAAGGAGATCAACCACATCCTTGTTAGCACTCACCTAGAGGATCCTTCTGAACTAAAGGGTCTGTTGGAGTGCTAAATTTTGACTACTGACTACTGATTGTTTTGGGTACCTTTGAGTCTACTTCAAAAAAAAACATCAGCTCAGTGATCTCCTTAGGGTTTTCCATGTGGACAGCTTGAGGGAGTGTGAGGGTTGGCCAAGACTGTTTTTTTGCAGCACTTAGCAACTCGATGGACCCTGTAGTGCTGTTGGATACCTTCAAGTGGAAACATTTGTTGCAGCTCAGGAGTCCATTGGTGACTGACCAATTTCTTCTCGCAGGAGATAGTGGAAGCTAAAGATGCTTGTTGCATGGTTCAACTGATAGGGGATTGTGACTTGCATTGTTCCCTGGTGTGAATGACTCGGTCACTGTTGAGAAGAGACAAGAAACGGTTTATCAGGAGTCTGCCAGGGGAGGCCAAAAGCTACTTCCTTAATGAAAGACCCTTGTTGTGCTTACAGAGCTAATCTTCAAACCCTCGACAGATGGCTGCAATCTCTCAGATCATGTTGTGGCGCAGGAAAGTAGGATTGAGTTCTTTGAACAGATATACCGGGTTAATCCATCAATAGTTGTCGTGGACGTGAGTGGTGTCACAGTCCACGTGCCAGACCCACCCTTCAGCAAGGAAACCACCTTTTCTGACTGATTTTAGTGAAAATCACCAAGCTGAAGGGTGGTAAAACAGCTGTATCTGCAGCTTCCCCGCTGAATTGCTAAAGGCTGGTAGTGAACTTATGGTGTGGGGTTTTCATGCTGTCCTGGCTTCCATCTGGCAGTCTGGTGCCATTCCTCTTGACTTGTTGAAGGGTGTGGTCACCCTTCTCTGGAATGGAAAAGGGGATCGATAGGACTGCAGCATGCAATAGTTCTTTGAGTCATCGTAGAGCGCTATTGTGAGTTCAGTCATAGGCTGCTTGCAGCCTGCTTTGACATTAACCCATTCACACCGGGTAAAAATTAACAAAAACGGGGGAAAATGCTGTGCTCATTTTTTATATTTCTTTGTGAAATTTTGGCTACTCTTACCTGATTTCATTTGGTGGAAAAATGTGTTTTTTACTAGTGCTATGAATATCAATGGTTATTTTTATTATAAACATTATAGTTACTATAATGTTATGAACATTAGTAACAGCAAAATAAGATAACGTAAAATATTTTCGTAAATTAAAGAAAAGGGTAACAGGTGAGACAGACAGTACAAGTACAAGTGTAGCCATCTATGTGTGAAAACAATCAAAGAAGTAAACTCACAGTGGGCATGTCAAATGGGTTAAGAAGGCATTTGACATAGTGCATTGTGATTCAATCTGGGAGATTCTGAGACTAAGTGGAATTTCAGCAAGGATTATTGGATTAACAGCAAGCCTAAATACTGCTACTTAAAGTTCTGTAGTGTAGTGGGAGCCTCTCTAGCTTATTCCCTGTTAACTCTGGAGTAAAGCAAGGCTCTGTTTTTTCACAAACACCTTTCAGCCCTATGAATTTGCTGATGATGTTGCTATTCTATCCGAGTCTCTGAAAACCCAGTTTTAATCTGTAGTAGTGAAACCTGTACATAATCCTGTACTTTGGAGTCTGGTTTTGATGCCTTTTGTAATAGGTCCTTGCACCAGATCATGGGGTGCAATTGGCAAGTTCATTCGTCCAATCATCAGTTACATTGTGAGACTAGCATTGGACCCATTATTTGCATAATGCAGGACTGCCAACTCAGACTATATGGGCACCTGGCTTGCTTCCTTCTTGAAGATCCTGCACACCATGTTGTCCTGTGCAAGAAATCCTAGGTCTAGGAGGCATGTGGGACGACCTAGGAAATTGTGGCTTGGACAGATCAGACAACCTGTTGCGAAGAGCTAGAGATGAGCTGAGGCTCTGCCTTGTGGCTCACCATAAGAGACCTTTGTAGGTGGAAGCAAAGGGTGAATGCAGCTATAAGTCTCCTTCTGCAATTGCTCTCCAAGGAATGATGATTTTGAAAAAGGTTAACAATGACCCCTTTTGAAGGAATAGACACTTTCCCAAAGGGAATGCAATTTACTCAAAGCAAAATATTAAACTAAGTCGATGCAGGAAGAAAAAGAAGCATTTGCAAAGAGCTCATTCCCATAGCAGACATAATTTTAAGAACAACTTAATGTTTTTGACTTGAAATCTAGAATCAAAACACGAGCTAAAAATGGAACTGTTACTATATTTTTGTATATATGCCCACTTACTAAGCCTTCTAATTATTTTTAATCTTGTACTACAATTATGATATTGTAAGGGCATCTGAATGAAATATTCCTGCAAAGAACTTTTGGTCAG